AAAGTCTAAAACTTTCCCTTTCAGGCAGAACCGCTAGTAGTTGATCTTAAGGATCTCTTCCAAGTAATTTATAACATCAAGAAAAAGGAGGAAGAAGATAAGAAAAAGGCAAGTAACTCTTGTCTCCAAAGGATCTTACCTGTATTGCTTATCAAAATGGCTACCTTGGCATTCATTTCAATGCCAGTATCACCCAGTCGCTAAGCAACTATAAAGCTGTAGCATCACTGAATCTGTCTGCTCTACTAGTTTCTGCAATAGTTATATGCAATGTACATACAAATAACTAGGAAGCATAGAGATTTAAAGAATTCTTCTACTTGAATTGTTCATGCACTTGGTGATTAAGGTTGGAGAGGCTAGTGCTCCAGTGCTTAGCTTTATTTTAGGATTATATCAACACTTATTGTTCTTTTGCTTTTTGGCACCATCTGCTTGGCTACCATAGCCTAGTTGAGTCCAATTAGATTCCTTCTTGTAAATGTTCAAATTTCACCTCTAGCAATCAATGTATATTAGCGTCTGGCCATTACTATTTTTCCATCTTGGCATGAAGAAGCCAATAAGACAGTTGAAGTAAAACTTTTGCTCTTTAAATCTGAGTAATACATGCACTTTGACCACGTGAGATTCTAATCTGTTTCCTTCCTTTTCCTAGCTAGCAAAGCTGGAGGCAACAACCTCAGAACACATGAATGCAACTAGTTCTGTAGAGCAAAACACACACTGCTGCACTAACAGCCTACATTTAGTCCAGTCTCCATATTTGTGGAAACTTGTGAATCAGTTAAAACCTAAATGAAACCAGCTCTTTATTCCAGTGATCAAACTTGGCTTGGCACTAAAGTTACCTTTATTTTCCCTTCCAGAATGGCAGTGAAGCCCTGACTGATCAAGTTGACAAAATAAAACTGGTATGTTTACATAATGCACGTGTGTGTAGTGTCCTTAAACCACACAGCAGATCTTAGTTTCTAAGCATACACATGTATGAAACTATTATAGTAAGCAGTTTGGGCTAAAAGTGGAATATCTTAACACATGTACACTAAGCTGGAGCTTACATTGCTTTACACAGAATGGAGGGATGATAGGAGTTACTATAGAGAACTTTCTGGGTGTCTGGCTGGTGAGTCTTGCCCACATGCTCAGGGTTTAGCTGATCGCCATATTTGGGGTCAGGAAGGAATTTTCCTCCAGGGTAGATTGGCAGAGGCCCTGGAGGTTTTTACCTTCCTCTGTAGCATGGGGTACAGATCACAGCTGGAGGATTCTCTGCATCTTGGGGTCTTCAAAGTATTTGAAGCCTTCAATATCTGAGAGAGAGGTGAGAGGATTATTCTAGGAGGGGTGGGTGAGATTTTGTGGCCTGCACTGTGCAGGGGGTCAGATTAGATGATCATAATGGTCCCTTCTGACCTTAAAGTCTGAGTCTGAGAATCTGAACCTCTTCCAAATTCCTTTTCAAGGGTGTTGACCAGATGGATTTGTTCGGTGATATGTCCACTCCTCCTGACCTGAACAGTCCCACAGTAAGTAAAGACCTGTCTTGTACTATATCTAGTTGCTAGCTGTTGTGTTTTGTGACTAAATGCAACATTAGGTCTATCTGAAGTCTCCTATAGATTACTCAAGCAAAGTGGAAACAGACAATAGGTGCAAAGGCAGCTTTGCCACTAATTGGAAGAAATACAACTTCAACTTCTGTCAGTGCTCATGTAGGAAGTCTGTTCCTACTAAATATCAAATGATGGTTCAAGTTTGTTCCCTCTATCCTTTCACAACCAACTTCATATCTGTCTCCTAGTTTAAACTTCAGTATTTGATATAGTAGCTCTAAGAGGCAGCCAGACTTCTGTACACACTTCAACTTTTTATGGTACTTGGGCATATTAACTTTTTATCCGTGTAATGAGTTTCAAGTGCCACACTTAAGATGTTGGCAAAAGAACAGAACAAATTCTGGGTAAGGACCTGAGAGGCTCTTGCCTCTTGCATCTGTCAGATGCTGCTCCTCTGCAGGAGCGATGAGGCTCTTCAAAGTTGCTGTACTGCCCCCTCACACAGTGACTTCATAATCCACAGGCCTCCTTATTACTGACCTTGCTGAAATGTGAAACCAAAGAACACTGCCAAAATAAACTCTGCTAAGCTTACTCAGGCACCACCTACAGTGTTAACATATGTTTGCTCATAGATGCTATTCATCCAAAGAGTGGCTGGTGCCTTCAAGATGCCCTAGTAGACTATGCTTGCATTTGAGATCTAGAACAGAAAATGGTACTGGACTGCTACTCATCTGCATAAAGACTATACTTCAGTTGCCTGCATTCTTCTGGATAAAATACACTGCCTTAATGTAAACTTGGGCAGAGTTATGAAAGTCCTAAAGTGTCGCAGACTTTAAATGGCTATAAGTGATGTGGGAGAAACTTGCAGCATTTGAATTTAAACTCAGGATGGATTAAGGGTTTGGGCCATGCAGAAGACACTAGTTAAACACTAGCCTATAGCTATTGAAATAAGGGCTCAGAACAAGGGGTTCTCATACTGATAGCATCTGTTATTGCAGAGTTAATCCTGAGTACAAAATCAGATGCATATTCCTGGCCCCTAACCCTGTGCAACTTTTATGCTAATTTGTTAAACAAGGTTGATCACTAGACTTCCTGGTAACACACCTGAAATGCTAGATGGTGCTTTTATTTTCTGCACAGTCATGATCAAATGCATTATGTGCCTTGCATCTGTTAAATCTTCAATTAACCTTTTTTTCTTTCCAAACTAATAGGAGACTAAAGATATCCTGTTAGTGGATCTAAACTCTGAAATTGAGAGCACTCTCTCTTCTGTAAAAGAGAGTCCCTTCTTGAATGGCATCACCGCCTCTCTTCCACAACCCAAGTCACAGACACCTTTCTTGCCTGAAAGTTCTTTCACTACCAATCTGAGCTTCTTCCCCACACCCAATCCAGATCCTTTCAGTGATGATCCTTTTGCACAACCAGACCAATCTGCACAACCTTCATTTGATTCTTTAAAATCTCCAATTCAGAAGAAGGAAAGTCTGAGCTTCTTGGGTAATGGTGCTGTAAATGGTGATATTGACTACTTTGGTAAACAGTTTGACCAGATTTCTAATAGAACTGGCAAACAGGAGATGCAGACAAGCCAGTGGCCAGTTGAGAGTAAGCCAATGCAGCCAGCAGCAAGGACACAAAATGGGGTGCCCGAAAGAGAACAGAATGGTTTTCTGACCAAATCATCCAACCTATTTGCGGAAAGCCCTTCCAAAGGATTGTTGCTACAAAATGGAGCAAAGCTGGACTCTGAAAGCAATATCCAGCTCATGTCACATGACTCAATAACAATTAGCCCACCTCCACAAAGTACCAAGCCAGGAAGAGGAAGGAGGACTGTTAAGGTGAAGCATCTTCAAATATATAATGGTGACATGCATGCTCTTAGATGGGCTGGGTGAAAATTTCCTTTTTTTACCAAAACATGGTGTGATACTGGCTAAACTACTTCTGCTATTCTACAACACCACTGTATTTATTCTTCTATTCCACTCACAATGTTCCCTCTGCAATCATGTTTTCTGCTTTCATGTGTACATTATAATGGTTATCACTAAGTATACACTTTTTTCTTTTCAATGCTGCCATACTTCACTATTTCTGGTAAGTATTTTGATCTGAAACTAATGCAAATGTATCTGGGGCAGTTGACTTTTTTAAATGCTAAAAGTACATGAAGTTAAAATGCCAACTTAGAATTCTAAAGCTAGCACTACATTTTTAGTGTAATCTCTATCAGATGGTCAAAAGAGTACTTGAAGTTCCTCAAATTTTAGTAATTGAATACAATACATATGACCACTTTGGGAAACACTGCACTATATAGCAAGTTCAAGGCATGTGTTTCTCATGCTTTCCAATTGGGCTGTATAAGACTCCAATCCTATTTAGAGAACTAAAAGGGCCAGAAGTTTCTACTTTGTTTTACTTAATTCTTTGGCTATATGATGTGAGCCTTTAGAACCCCGAAATCTCAAATATGAGTAGCCTAGATGTAACAACCTTTGACTTGCAATAGAATTAAATCTCATACTGCAAGTCCAGTATGACAATTTATTTTGCCAGCATGCTTCATTGTTTAATTCATAAGAATATCAAATAGTAGTAAAACGTTACTTATGCAAGAATCTAATTTGATATGCCTGGTATTCTAAAATACAACCATTTGAAATCTTCCAAGCTGGCTTTAGACAAACATCTAGTCCTAATTAAAACTCTTAATTTTCCATCCCACCAGTTATTAAAGGCTATTTTGGTTCTGAAATTGGGTATTGCCCAAGACAAGAGAAGACCTAGATAACACTTCCTGAAAATGAGGCCCAAAACTAGAATCTGCCCAAAACCTAGCATCTGTCCATAGTTTTACTGGGATATGGTAACCAATTTTTCATCTTGTTTCCAGACCCCAGCAAGTGACTTGTTCAGCTCAGATATCTTTGCATCTACTACAACAGAGGCCCCAGGCCTGACTTCTGCATCACAACCTTCACTGGTGCAAACCAATCCCCTGGATCTCTTCCGAACCAGTCCTGCCATCACACCAATGGCTGGCCTAGGTTAGTTCATTACCTTACTTAAGGGAACACAATTAACCTTATTGGTCACTTCAGTTGATGGTCTCTAACTTGTTTTAGCAAGTCAGACTTGCTTGTTCTCTTAACAAGCACATGCTATAGTGAATGTCTCCTTATGTCCCCTCATGCAGCAGTTCCCTCCTTCCCCCAACCTGACAGCATTTCCTTAATCTATTACTCAAAATAGATACAATCCTCTGGGGGAGACTTCACACTGAGCTCATAGCTAACACTAGGGTAACAATCTCTTATCTATTAGTCTGTCTTTACAGTAAAGAACCTCTCTAAACTTCCTGATCTCTGTGGGGCATGTGAACACAATACAGCAAGAGTCTGGGGGTGGGGGGAAGGAGGGAGGAGAGTCACTTTATAATTGATACTGATCATGGGCTGGCCTTGCCCAGAAGGGGTAGGGTTGGGGGCCACAATGAGACACCGTGAAGCATTGTGTGGCAGCATGTATGTGCGCACAGGGCATGTGACCGTGACTTTGCTGGCTGCTGTTGGGTACATTTCTGAGAAGCCACTCTAAGGAAAGTCTGTCCTGCTGTCACTCCCTCCCCCACTCTGCACTCCTGAGTCACTTACCATTCACGTTTCAGATTGGAGCAGTTCTGTTGTCTTCCCTCTCCCCAATTCCTGCTCTGCAGGGGAACACCCTGACTTCAGACGAACACGAGCTATCAGGCACCTCAGGCCACCCAGCTCATTGGCAGGATCCAGTCCCTGGACCTTATTTTTTGCCCACCCCGGTCACTCTCTCCCCTAGCTTCTCTAGCTGACATGTATCAAGTCTACACAGCAGCTGGGGGGATGTCTCTCTGGATACAATATTTTTAGCACATTAACTCAAGTACGTGTGCTACCTTTTGGGAGCACATTCCCACCTGAATAGCAGACATGCCTGTGTTTGGCTACTGCAATACAAATTGTAACGACTCAGTAGGAACTGGGGATATAGAGCCATTCCAATTGGAATGCCTCATGACAGTGAGACTGAAGCAACCTTGTGACTTTCCCAAGGTCACATGTCATTCTCAAGGATAGATTTAGTTCCCACCCCAGCCTGATACTGACACCACTTTTACGAGTGGTGTAACTTCTCAAACTCTACATAGATGTACTTGGCTTACCCAAGCCAGTCTGACAGCCAGGGCAATTGTTGCTGGCTGTGCAACTTACTGCTTTCCTTACTCCACGGATTCTCAAAAGGATACTGCAACCCCCCTCTAAGTTGCTTGTGACCCCTGCGGGATTGGGACCCACAGTTTGAGAAACACAGCCTTACTCCACTGATACTGCATATGTTCCTTGACAGTTGAGCTAGTGTACTAGATGTGTTCAGCAGTAATTTAAGTTTCAATAATGACTGAGATCATAGGTGCTGAGAACAAATGCAAGTTTTGCTTGCTGTATAGAATATATTTAGACTATTTGATAGCTGGTACAGCTATCAATCTTTAACTGTCTTCAGTCTCACATGGCAAGTGAGTTAAGTGTGGGTGGCTAAATGCCCTATGCAGGTTTACAAGAACAGATGAATAAATCTTCATGGTGGGAGGGGGAGGAAAGTGGGGCTTACAACCTGAGCTTCAGTCTTAGCTTCTGTGCTTTCTCCTGCAGAGAGCTATGTAGGGCAGCAGTGGGACACTTAAACCAGATTCAAAGCAACAGTGTTCAGATCCAAGTCCAATGATCACTGATCCATCATGTCCTACTTGCATTGGGGATGCCAATCTAATGCTTCTGAAGCTTGCAGAAAGGAAACTGGGTCCCCTACAAGATGGTTCCTTTTACATTTGCACCTTTGTTAAATCCTGCAGAGAGCTATGTAGGGCAGCAGTGGGACACTTAAACCAGATTCAAAGCAACAGTGTTCAGATCCAAGTCCAATGATCACTGATCCATCATGTCCTACTTGCATTGGGGATGCCAATCTAATGCTTCTGAAGCTTGCAGAAAGGAAACTGGGTCCCCTACAAGATGGTTCCTTTTACATTTGCACCTTTGTTAAACTAAGGCTAATATGCAACTAGCTAAGTCAGTGACTCACTGGCCCCTTTGGATTTCTGCAACTAGCAGCAGTAGACGCTAAGGCTATTGTACTTCTTGTGGCAGAAGATCTGCTAGAGGGACTAATTGGCATGAGTTGTGATGTCATTAGCATATTGTCCTTTTTTGCAGAAGGGGTTTTTGCACAAGATCCTAATGCCTCAAGGATAAGGCATAAGGATCTTGTGCAAAAGAGGGTTTTTGTGCAAGACAGAAGCAGCTACATTGCTTGTGCAAAAAATCAGCAGAAGATCCTAATGACATCACAACTCATGCTAATGAGTCCCTCTAGCATATTTTCTGCTGCAAAAAAATTGCAGTGTAGACCTAGCCTAACTCAGCTAAAGTGGAATACTCCCATCCAGTCACTGGCAAGCTCAGATAGAACACTAGTAACTGGGATGTAAGGCTTCCTTTTTTGGGAAGGGGGGGGGAGGGGGGAGAAGTTTAAAAATCAGCCTTAGATTTCTAAACTTTAGCTTGAGTATCAGCAGGACACATTGGTAAGAAGGCCTGGGGGCCATAACGGGAGTGGAGGGATGTAGTTAGCTCAACAAGAGTTGAGGCAATGTCCCTGTATTATGATGGATATTAAGTATTGATTAAACAAACACCGGACTATGCAGCACTTTAAAGACTAACAAGATGGTTAGTCTTTAAAGTGCTGCATAATCCTGTCGCTTGTTTCAGCGAGACCAGACTAACATGGCTGCATCTCTACAAGTATTGATTACACAGCTCTTGTATGCTAGTTGCCTTTGGAGCACAGGCCTCAGTTGAGGGTCTTGCTCTAAATCCTTTACTAGAGCAAGGTAATAAAATCCTGACTAGATTGGTGTGGGACAACTTATGGGCTACATGGAGTCAAATACAGGAGCAGAGGAATCTGATGCATAGACCCTTGGATCTTTAGAAGCGATGCAAGGCTTGCTTCATTCTGAGTTTAAACAGAGTAACTCCTCTTCCCACATGGCTTCTGCACATAATGGGATGCAAAGATACAACTGCAGTGGCTCTAGATAGTCACATCTAGATTTACTCCACTCTAAACAATCCTCATTTTAAGAGTATTAGAATGCACAGGCAAACTCGCATCATAGTAAAAGTCTTAGTTCTAGGCTCTTTCCTTACAAGAATTGATAGTCCAATGTTTGCATTGGAATCTGGCTTGCTAGAGTAAGACCTTGCTGGAACATGTTACCCATGTCTCATTAAGCCACTTCTCCCTAGCCTCAGCTTTGAGGATAGCTGAACCGTCTGACAATGGCACCAGCAGCAGATCAGTCACCTTTAGAAGTGGTTTGCCTGCCTCCAGGGAAGCATGACACACAGTCTGCAGTCAGCCAGGTTCAAGCAAGCATGACTAAATTTTCTTTCAGTTTGTGGTAGTGTCTGTTGGACACTCCCAGTGACATTATGCTGTATAGACATGGTCAGTGTAATGTCTGAGCTAGACTGCTACTTGCAAGCAAGACTTGCACTTGGCACTAGAGACATGGAGCTAACCAGGGTTAACCTGACCTCAAAGGCATTTGAGTGCCTTTGTTTAACATGCAGCATATTAATGGTGTCTAGAGCAGACAGTCAACACTTGCTGACAGAATAAGAACAAAGTTTAGGGCTACCACATTAGATTTTTAAAGTGGCTAAATACTCCATCCACTCTAGGATGAGGTAATATCTTATTAGACCAGCTTCCAGTGGTGAGAGAAGCTTTTGCACTAGGTAGAGCCTTGAAAGGGAAGTTTGCATGGACACTAAAGTAACTTCTTGGTGATCCGTGTATATATTGTACTGTGAATTCAAATAAGGAGCACAAGTGCATTAAAGATGCCCCCTGGACCATATTTATAAGTCTTGCCTAACCTCTCTCCTAGGTGGCTTGCCAGCAACATCTCCAACACCATGGAGTCAGCAGTCCTCAGTGTTCAGTCCTGCCTCATCAGTATTTCCTGCATCCGTGATGGGTGCTCAGCCTACAGGATTTACTCAACCGCTGGCCTTCAGTGCTCCTCCAGCAGTCTCTGGTTGGGGTCAGCCGGCATCCTTTGGAGCCCCTTCTCCATCTCCTGGTCTCTGGGGTCAGCCAGCCCATGTCTCCTCTACTACATGGGCACCACCATCCACCATTGGAAATCCTTTCCAGACCAGTGTGTTTCCAACTCCTACACAGTCTCCTGCTATGTTGTCTTCTGTCTCTGCAACTAGCCCTCCTCAGCCACCACCGAGAATTGCACTCCTGAAGGAGCCATCCAAGAAGGAAAGTGATGCCTTCACCGCCTTAGACCCACTAGGGGATAAAGAGAAAAAGGATGTAAAAGAGCTGTTTAAAGACTTCCAGCTGACAAAGCCACCCGCAGTACCAGCAAGGAGGGGAGAACAGCAGCCAAGCCTTCTAGGTGCTTCTGGTGCTTTCACTAGTTACTTTAATAGCAAAGTGGGCATTCTTCAAGACAACACTGATCATGACGACTTGGAAGCCAATCAGTTGTTTACTAAAATCAGTGGTAAATTCCCTCATGCTTCATCAAGTCAGTGGGGAACCTCTCAGTTTGTTCTTCCCCTTCCAAGCAAGCTAATTTTAATCCTGTGGGCTCTAGATGGCTAGATTAGCATCTCCTCTTGACTAACAGGAAGTAGCCTGATACTGCAATAGTGTCATGAGGGTAATCCTTAATTTACTGCTGCCCAACACTGCCCTCTAGTATTCAGTTACACTAAGTCACTCAGCTATGTCTCCAGCACTTTCAAAACTGGGAACTTTAAACTGAGCTTAATTCATACTGAAAGCAACAAAAGTGACTCTTCAAAAGTAGAAATGCTGCACAATGTAGTGTCTAGCTTGACATCCACTTTCTGAAAACTAATCTTCAGGTTCTGGAAAAATCGTCTTCTGCATTCATGCAGAAATCCAGGCCTGCATAAACCTGAACTTTCTGTAAGGGAAGTAACTAACTTGTTTAAACTCTCTTCCCTGTAGAACCACCGAAACCTGCTCCCAGACAAAGCACTGTGCCAGCTTCCAAGCCTGACAGCCTGTTTGAAAACCCCTTTGAAACAGATCCTTTCAGCACCTCCTCACAACTCTCTGTAAGTACTAGACAAGTGTTCAGCTATCTGTACTCCTCTGAAGCCTCCAGTATTAGAAACCTGTGGGGTTTGGCCTCTAGCGGGGCACTTCACATTGGTAACAATTCCTTAGCATGGTCAGCAAATTCAATTTGTGTTCCGGTGACTTCAAATTCCTTGCTGCAAGGGAGCCAGCAGAGCTTGTCACAGGAGAAATACCACTTGTGAACCTGAGTAACTCTCAAATTTGGCTAAATCCCAGGGTGCATGTGCCACTAAACTGTGGTATGAGGCATCCTTGTCTTGTGCAGCCATACTGGCTTGACAGAATAGCTTTTCCAGCTAGCTTAGGCCCTTTGCACACCCACCCCTTTCTTCCCTGCCCTGCAGGGAGCTAAATATATAGCTTCTCTGTTCTGGCTGGAGGATGGAGCTTTCTAAAGTGGGAGGGGAAATAGCCTAACCACAGTCTGGAACATGAGACCTGAAGCCCTTCAAGGAACCTCTCAAATGATGAGTTTATTTTAGACAAATTGAAAACTACCTTACTGGCTGAATTCCATGAGTATTCAGTGCACATGGTCTTCTCAGAGGTATGAATCAAGCTAAGTAGACTTTAATTCTAATCTAGTCCTAAAAAATTTAGGTCAATAAATTAACAGCTGGCTGAATTTTCATATTGTATGTCATTCAAGCACCTATAATATGGACTGTTCAAAGCTACTTGCCCAACATCTGACTCTTCCTCTAACTTGCATGGTGTATTGAGATTCCTGCCTGCTTATAAGCTATCTTCTATTTTAGACTGCATCTCAGCCGTTGCCATCTTCTGATCTGTTTGATCCTTTTGGAAACCCATTTGCATAATTTGGTAAGTGGTGCTCTTATTCACCTGTTGCTTAGTTGATAGACCTAACGGGGAAACCACTGAAGGAAAGGTATTCTGACCACTCCATCTGGCCAACTGGCATGGGAAGGTGGGTCAGTGCTGAAGAGTCTGACCTTAACTTGTATTTACCACCAGTAAAACTATTTGCCTGCCCAGTGGCTGTGGAAGAGAATGTTTGGATGTTAAAAGCAAGTACCATTAATAATGGGTAGCAGGTTTCAAACTAAAGCGACAGTTCTTCACACAGTGCATAGTCAGCCTGTGGAACTCCTTGCCAGAGGAGGCTGTGAGGGCTAGAACTATAACTGTTTAAAGAAGCTAGACAACCTCCATGAATTTAAGTCCATAAAAGGCTATTGCCGGGGGTAGGAATGGTTTCCCTGGCCTCTGTCAGGCTGGAGATGGATGGCATGAGACACATCGCTTGATCATTGTCTAACCTGTCTGGGGCCCTCGGTGCTGGCCACTGTCAGCAGACAGGCTCCTGGGCTAGATGGACCTTTGGTCTGACCCAGTACAGCTATTCTTAAGTATTTCAACTTAGAGCAATGTAAATCATTGACCTTAATGCCTAAACTGGAGGAAATAGGAAACTCCTCCTTGAGACCACTTAACAGTGCAGTAGGGAGCTACCTCCTTCTCCTAAAGTCAGTCTTGAAATTGGCAAGATTTAGACATTACCTTGCAGCAGTGAAGGACTTTGACTAATATGGGGGTGCAAGGGAAGCTTTCATGTTCTTAGAGAACAGAGGTTCACTGCATGTGGTCTGCTTTTTAATTTTGTTTCCAGAGTCAGATGACTCAAGTAGTAGCTGGCTTTAAAGCTGAGAATACTCCTCTCCTGAGATCAGTCTAGCTTTCCTCTCATATAGTCCCCTGTTTACAGCAATTGTTTGTAGCAGACTGATAGTTGTCAGCATGAAATCCTGCTTTGAGTAAATGACACGGGCAGCCTGAACTACAGTGAAATGTAATTGATTCCTCAAACTTACTTTCTAGGTGTTACTGCAGGCTGAAATCAACTTGTGCTAGTTAATGAAACTTGTAATTGCTATGGGAATGCTTGCAATACAACTTCATTTGTTAGAAAAAATATTCTACATCTCAATCTGACTTAGTCACTCCTAGTAGTGCTGCCAGGTACACAAAGTTGGGAATGGACTGTACTTGAAGGAAAACTTTGCCCTTAAATGACAATAGTCAGGACAACTTGAAGAGTTGGCTAGCTTCAGACTGAGTAGATAACCATTTCCAATGTAAAAAGGCACTCAGCAGGACACTTTGCCCAAGACTACACTTGGGTCAGATTGTCTGAGTTAAATAGAAATCTACACACTACTCCACATAGCAAGCTTACAGTTAGCTGGGCAGTATTCCAGAATTCAAATTTCCACATTTGATAGAAGGCCCTAATGTTAAATCTTTAGCAAGAATCTGATAACCTGAACAAACCTCAATTCTAAACTTACCAAAAACTAAAGGGTTTCACAATTAATACAAGTGAAAGCAGAAGTCTCATGTAAAAACTCTGCCCACTTATCCAGTAAAACTGCTAGTAAACTGTTTTATAATTCTAATTACTAATCACTTTCTCTCTGCAGAAAGGTGTAATGAGCAAAGGACAAATGGAATAACCAGATACATCACCATTTTCTACAAGGGGTCTCTTTCTTTGCATTGCCTGTCTGCCTTCATCTTTGTTGCCTCTGAGTGTTAAATGTCTGCTGTGGACTGAAATATGAGTCCTCCTAGTGAACCTGCTGTTAACATAATTCAAGATGAAGCCAAGGAAAACACCCATACTTTCGTGCTTGAGGTCCAGATTCAAGTTGGTGGATGTGAATTCTTGTTCTGTAGCCTCTCCAGTTTCTTCTGATTAAGAACTACTTATGTCTTGTAGGAACACTGACTTTTCAGTCTTGTTATGGCTTTTTTTAAAGATGATCACCTACACTTAAACCTTGAGGCACTTGATTGTAATAGTTGGGTACCCATTTTGAGGCAGAAATCATGCATTCTCCTCCACATTGGGAAAAGGAATTGTGGTTTTAGAATTTTGCAAATTCTGCATCACTTGTATTTCAAGTGTGGGGAAACTTACCTGTATTTCACTGATGGTGCTGTCTCTACAAAATGGCAGCCAACTAAAGGTTGTTTTAAACCTCTTTTCAATGTACAATAGTCTTCTTGCATTTATGGTGATAGTACAACTGGTGATGTCTTATGGCTTTCCTCTTTCTCTATAGCAGAAAACAAAGTGCATGCCAATTCATATTGAAGATGGCAAAACATGGCTGCCGAATCTGGAGAGGCAGGGAGTATATGGAACAAACTCAATCAAAACTGTTTCTGCTTCACAAGTTAAAGTTTTAGGATCTGAATTGGACCAAAAGCTGCTTAAAAATACCTCATACAAATTTCAACTTGTTAAAACCTCAGGCAGTAGACTCCTCAAAGGGTTTTTGGGGCACAGAGGGAGAGCAATCAAATAGGGTACTGGATCCTATTTTCTGTCAAAGCTTGACAGATGACACTAAGCAAGTGGGTTTCTTGTGGAATCTAATTTGGTAAATGTCCCTATTGCTCTGAACACAAATCAATGAGCTGTTGTCACAGCATGGTTCCTGTATCGGTTGGAAAGGCAAGTGGCAATCTTGTATTAATCTTTACTTCACTTGATTGATACCTTAGTCTTGTGCATTTTGATGCACCTCATTTGAGGTAGCTATCCATCTCTCAAACAAGATAGTACAGAGGTTCAAAGATACTAACTGGCTTGTATGTAAATCAGTCACTTATAAACTAAATTGTTAGGGTTACATAGATGATTGGACAGAGGTCTAAAAAGCAATTACCATTCTGATGGCTAGTTTCCTATTCAAGTTTAGACTTGAATACTATCTTTAATGTTCAATTGGCCATCTAAACTCAAGCTAAACTGAGATTTAGGTCTGGAAAATCTGCTTGAAGGCAACTTTAGTCAATTCAGCCAGTTGTGCAACTTGTTCTGTATATAACCTTTTCTTTTGTGCACTTTCCTGCAATGCAATGAAGTTATGAATTTAAGTACTTGTGTCAAACTGGAAATGTAGAAACTTCAGATGTTACTATTATGTAAACTGTAGTCTCAAGTAATGGTTTCTAATGACATTAAAAAATGCAGCTCTTAATATCGAGTAAGGGTTTTCTGTTTCCTGAAAGAGCAGAAAGTACAGCAAGGTATATTGAACATGCCATGAAGCACATCTTGCTCCTTCTGGAGCAAGGAATTCAGCATCCTAGGAGTGTTTAGCTATTAACTTCCAATGTTATGACTGTTCTAGATAGATTTTCATAGTCTATGATCAGGGCTCATAGCATTCTGTGCCTTCTAGTTAGAATACTGTTAGTGGCTGTTCAGAGTTCGAGCCATTTTCCTCCAGTTTACTTCAGAATTTCAAGTAACTTTTGGACTAGTTTTTCTTCTCTACACCCCACCCCAAGCTATAGAAAGAAGCCCTAATACTCAACAAGAATAAGCATTGACACATCCCTCTAACACTGCAATTGCTTGTGGTTTTTAGCAAGATCCCAATCCCTGCTGGTCTTGAATCTTCTAATAGATTATCCAACTACAGGCAGTCCCCAGGTTACACAGATCCGACTATTGTCGGATCCTTACTTACGAACGGGGCTCTTCTCGCCCTGGAGGACACGGGCGGCGGGATCGCCCAGACGCGCCATGGTCCTGCTGCCCGCATCCTCCAGGGCAAGAAAAGCTGCTCTGCGTCTCCCTGGTCTGCTGGGGGGGGAGGGGCAGAAGACTAGTCTTTTCTCACTGATGCCTGTGGTAAAGCAGCTGGGGTGCTGCTGGGTTGGTCCTGCAGCGCTGCTCCTCGGCACTACTGGACCAACCTGGCAGCACCCCAGCTGCTCTGACCCAGGTGTCCAGGTTCAGCTGCTGTTGAAACTGATCAGCAGCTGATTCTAGGAAGCCCAGGGCAGAGAAACTCTGCCTTGGGCTTCCTGTAGTCAGCCGCTGGTCAGTTTCAGCAGCAGCTGAATCTGGATGCCAGTTCCGACTTACATACAGATTCAACTTAGGGACTGTAGGTTTGTTCTTATCTTGTACATAACCTGGGGACTACCTGTACATCAAAGGTTCCTCTGAAATAGCATTCCATTTACTCATGCATTTGTGAAATGAGATGATGGATGCTATGGAATAATGACATAGCCCTCTTCATCTGCTCCTATATTTGAGCCTTCCTTTCTCCAACACTTGCCAAAAATCACAATAAAATACTTGAATGTGAAATTACTCTTAAAAAGTACCTTTGCATATGATACATGCAGGCTGCCATAAGTGAAAGCTATTGGACTGTCTAAAGTAACACAGCTGGTCAACAGTCAAAGTGCTGTTCGTGAAAATGTTTAAATGTTTAAACAGACTATTTGACTTGGATTGCTACAGAGTCAAATGGTCATGTTGTCTGACAGGAATGACATGCCTCCTGAAATAGTAAATCTTGCACCACAATATACTGGTTAGGAACAAGACTGGATTTCAACAGTTTTGTGTTAAAGTGCACCAGTAACTGGAAATTCTTCAGATGTTAGCCAGGCTTTCTATTGGCTCAAATAGCACTGCTCTCATTCAGTGGGCTATAGTTTGAGTTGAGGTACTGTCAGTATGCTCAGTTTGGTAGTGAAACTCATTTGGCAACTTCATCTCTTGCAGCAGCAACAACTGAAATGGCATTGAAGGTTAGATTCTAGCTTAAAGGAATAAGCTTGGGCCAGGTCTACACAACAGACTTTATGAACATAAAATCACTACTCGGGCTCCAAAATCCACATCTGAGCAACATCCCTGGAACTGCCTAAACTCATGTAGAAAACCCTACACCATGGCTATGTTGGTAGAAGCTCTGAATTTCCAAGAGGGTGGGTTAACTACTCTGAAGGGAGACATTCTTGTCACTTATGTGCCACAGCTGCCCCAATGCAGCATTTATGTGTTGGCATATTCTGTTTTGGGGAGAGGCTGGTAGAAAGCTTGCCAAGACCAGAGTGAGACCATCTGAGTTAAGTCAGATGGACTAGATCTGGAATCTAATGTTCAGTGTCATATCCAAGTTGCCATGTTAACACCACTAAGAGCAAGTGGCTTCTGTTGACTTGGCTTTGAAAATTCAAAGCGGATTCTGATAGAACTTCAAAGACAAAGATTATAAACAAAATAACCATACCTACTACACAGCCAACGATCCAACCTTAAAGTTTGGCAGAATTTCTACTGGATGTAGTAGTCTGCTATACAAGGATACATAGTTACTGCTTCAAACTTCTGAAATGGCAAACAGTTGCAGTATGAGATGTCGTTTAACCTAAGGTCCCACTTAGAAATAAAGCACAACTACTCAAAACTAATGTTCCTAGGACAATGTGCCATGCGATTTTTTTTCTTATCCAAGACAGCCAACTTTTTGGGGGCCACATGAACAGATAAGTGTCTCCTGTGCCTAGCTATTGGGCTAGTCACAAGAACCAGAGCCTTAACTACAGGAGAAATCCCTAATGAAAACAGCCAAAAAGTTACACTGCACCCAAAGGCAGACTAAAGTCAGAGGGAGCAGTGTTAGTCTGTAATGTTAAAAATGAGTAGGCTTGGGGTAACTTAGACTAACAAATATAAATATCAGAGCTTTCAGTGGGTAACCAACTTCAGAATTTATAACAGGGAAGAGAGACCTCTCAATTATAAAGCACTCTGTCCTGGCATTTAACAAACTTTTGCATCCATAACTATGGGACACTTAATTAGCCTCAACTGTAGAACTGGTACTAACAGGTACCTTTTTGTTATAAATCCTGGGTTTATTTCCCCAACTCCAAAGTAGGACAGAACATTTAGGCTACATCTACACTGCAGGCTTTTTGCGCAAGAACTGTTTTGCACAAGAGTCTTTGTGCAAAAATTCTTGCATAAGAGCATGTGTTTTTGCACAAGAGCATCCATGGCAATGTGGCTGCTCTGATGGCCATTTGTTGCCTGTTCACACTGCCGTCTTGTGCAAGAGGAATAACTTGCACAAGAAGCCATCTCTTCTGATGCTTTACTGTAAATTTACTTGCACAAGAGCATGCATGCAGTGTAGATGCTCTACAAGCTTTTGCGGAAGAACTGTTCTTGTGCAAAAAACCTGCAATGTAGATGTAGCCTTAGCTGATCTCATCTCTATGTAGTCATGAGGTTGTTTGGCACTGTTTTAGGGACTCATCTGATGTTCAGCACTTATACCCTTCAGATAAACAATTGATCCTTCTTGACCAAAGACTCTGACGTGTCTTTCAGTAGCATAGTGAGGCTCAAGAGAAATAATTTACACCAACTTGAAGTCTTAAACCATGATTTGAGGATTTCAGTAAACTAACCAGAGGTAAGGAGTCTATTACAGGAGGATTGAGGTTCTGTGGCCTGCAATGTGCAAATCCTGT